CGGGCCCTCCTCCCGCCCCCGGCCTGGGCCCGCCGCCCCCCTCGCCGCTCCACTGTGCTGGTCTCCCGGCCGCTAGTCTTCCCACTCCGGGAGCCCCCGTTGCGGGAGGCAGAGTTTGGGGTCCGGGCCTGTCCCTGGGGTCCCCGGGGCTGGGGGTGCGCCGCAGCCGCCGCGCTGGACCCCCTGAGATCCGAGGGCCCGGCCGCCCCTCGAGCCCGCTGGAGATGGACTCACTGGGTCCGGCCATTGACTAATTTTGAAGCCCCGATTGTCATGCAATAGAGGCTGCCCTGGGCTCGGATGCCACTTGGCCGTTGTAACTCCGGATTCCCACGTAGGACTTTTCTCTGGACCAGAGCATCCGAGGCTGGGAACTGGCAGGAGTTCAGAAGCTTGTGAATTGGCAGGTTCTTCAGCGTAGTCACTGTGGGTTCTGCCAGGCGGTGGAATCCTGAATGGATGTTACAGCGTCTTCACCCAGCATTCCGCTTTTTTGCACCCTCCCCCACCCCTTTTTATGCCGGGAATCACCCTCCCCTTATCTGGGAGATACCCTAAAATTAATTTTCCCCATTAGGTTTTTAAAAGGTTATTGAATTCCCACTGTGCACCAGCATTGTCAGGTTTGCAAAACTAAATAGAACGCGGTCCCAGCGCACCAGGACCTGCCAGCCCCGGAATCAAGATTAATGACGGCTTCCAGTTGAGTGGGGTGGAGAGCACAGGAGTTTGGCTCTGAGTCTCCTGCCTTAGAGCTGGAAGTCTTTCAAGATTATCTCACCCAAAACCTCATGTTACGGAGGTGAAACTAAGTCCGAGGGAAGTCAAATGACTTGCTTGAGGTCACCCAGAGTTATTTTTCAGCTGTTTTCCACCATAACCTGTTCCTTCTGAGACATATGCTAAACAAACATACCAGAGAGAATTCTAGTCCTGTTTAAATGTAATAATATAGATAGGAATCTTCTGAAATAAAATATGTTTTCGTAATTTTGTTCTTTTTTACAGCTAGACTTTAGGCTCCTTGAGGATATTCCATTTTGTACTTTTGAATATCCTCTCACCATATTCAGCATAAAATAACATTCTTAATGAGTATCCTCGGCAGGACAGGTAGGTCTTTGGATTTGTTTTTCTTCCTCACTTTTAAATAGGCAATTAAAGTCACACAGAGGACTCCAAATAATTAAGTGTTTTCAGAAAAATCTGTTCAGGCTGGGACAGCGGTGTGAATACGTACCTGGCAGGAGGATTCCTTGAGCTGTGAAGTATGCTCGAGCATTTAACTGATTGCTTACGTGTTACAGCTGTTTGAGGCTGGCGATTTCAGTGGAACCTCTAGCCAGAGCGCTTGGCGTCCCTGCCATTTGAAGACAGGTCTCTGAGGTCGTAATCTATGTAGAAAACAGTGATTGACAGGTTTCCTTTGAAGCTGGCTTTTGAGGAATGTTCCATAGTTTGAGGTACAATAGTATTTTTTTCCACTTTTATTTTTGTACTTGGACTTAATATCTTAAAGTGCCACCATTTTTATTGGGCTTCCAGTAGAAGTTGTTGAAGTGGAAATGATTCACGAACTGATTGTATGAGTTATCAGAATAGTTGAATCATAACATTTTACTGCTGGAAAGGACTAGATTATCTAACCCAGGGTAGCCCCTGGGGAGGCCCAGTGAGGCAGAGAGGGGAATGGAGTCCTCCAGCCCTCAGACCAGTGCTGTCCCCTCCCACCACGGGGCTTTCTTCACCTTTTCTTACTGTCTTATCACCTTCCCCTGCCCTGTATAATTAAGCATCATCTCTGGATTTTTGTGTGCATAGAATTATGACCTATTGAGGGCCTTTTCTACCCTTAGCCTGTAGTGTGATGTGTAAACGCAGACTTAATTTTGTTCCACATCACGCTGGTTTATCCCGTGTTTATGTTTTGCAGGTGTGAGACAACTACTATTGTGTTACAATCATGGTGCAAAAGTACCAGTCACCAGTGAGGGTGTATAAACACCCCTTTGAATTAATTATGGCTGTAAGTACTTTACATTTTAATTTACTCTTTGGCTTCTTATTTTTTTAAGTATTCAGATTTGATGATCTGTAAACTAATGTTTATTTTATTGTTTGTCTCCATTGCTCCACTTTTGCTTATTCTGTTTTTATGCTTATGAACCATATCTGGACTTTCTGAAATGTTTTTAAACTATAAGTCTCTGAAAATCAAAATCTACACGTTTGTTTTTTAAAAATGTACGTCAGCATAATGTGTGAGTTAATTCTCCCTTTGGAAACCACAGAAGTGGGATTCAGACTAAATACTTCTTCCTCTAGACTTTGCTCTTTTGTTTGTTTGTTAAAGTAGAAAAGGGATGTGGAGGGTGGTTTCTTCCCTCTGCTGCTCATTTGGAGGAGTGCTCCGGTTGTAGGGTGAGTTGACTTTATGTAGACCTGAGCACTATAGGAGGGAGTTCTACATTATTCTAACAACTCTGCTGAATGAGTTTTTGCCCCTAATATCAACTTTGTGAGTCATATTAGAATTCTATGAATAGGGTAACTCAAGTCTTAATTTTCTTTGTTATTTACCTGAAGAGTTTGGCTGAAAAGAAGCATTTCACTAGAGGCAAAACAAAACAAACCTTTTTCCAATCATGTGTAGATTACTATAAGGTATTCCTTCCCTTCTCTTTTGTGTTACTATTAAGATACAATATAATATACATACAGGAAAACGCTTCTGTCATGAAGATACACCCTGATGAAAATGTCACACTGAACCAAGCTCAGGAACCAAAACATACCAGCCCAGTAAGAAGTCCCACTCAGCCCTGTTCTGTCCCTCCTCCCTCCCCCCTTCTCGAGATTAGCCACGGCTCTGACTTCTAACACCATGGATGACTGTTGTCTGTTTCTGTTCTCTATATAAATAGAAACTCAGGTGTTTTTGTATCTGGCTTCTTCTGCTCAGCATTGTTTGTGACATTTATCCAGATCAATATAGTTTTGAAAGACAAAGCTGAAACGCAGGTCTTCTCAAGGGAATAATTTAGATTTAGGGAGGTTTTTTTTAATTAAGGTATAATTTACATACAGTGAAATGGTCACATGTTAGGTGTACAGTTTGATCAGTTGTAACAGAAGAGTGACCTTCCCCTCTATCAAGATGCAGAACCTTTCCACCCATCACCTCAGAAAGTTCCCCATGCCCCGTCTCTGTCAGGTGTGAGGTTTTGGGGGGGGTGTGTGAGGGGAGGTGTTTTTTTTATTTCCCTTAAATACTAGGACTGTTCAGTATTTTATGTTACTGGCTGGGGAAGGCTTGTTTCCTGTTTACATGTGTGCTGGTTTACCTTTTGGTTGTATGGAGCAAAGATCTGCTTCAGCGAGCTTGAGAAGGAGTCTTGTTAGTGGGAACACATGCAGTGTGATAGGAATCGCATAGAAATCCAGGAATGCGAGCTGGGATGGGCTGAGCTCCAAGAACCTGGCGTTGGAGGGTGGTTCCTGGCAGCTCTGGGGCCTCGGAGCAGTTGTCCCTGGAACTTCACCCCGTGGGACTCTGCGGAGTTCCATATGCTGGAGCCTCTCTCCCCCTAAACCAACTGGCTGCTTTGCCCACTCCTGGTTTTCCCTTCCCTGTGGCTTTAGCTCACATGCTTTTTCAGCTGGTCAAAACCCCTCTGGCCCCAGTTCAACTTTGTGGCATTTCTTGTTGCATTCTTTCAGTTTCTAAGTGACCAATTCTTGTCGTATTTCCTGGTTCAGATTCTAGAGAGAGACTTGATCTGGTCATCTTTCCCCTGGATCTAGGATAATAGGTTCCTGGCCAGCCTGTGGATTATTTCCTCGGGTTGGTTGCCTAATCCTTGTTCAGTTGGCTGGGCCTGGTGGAGCTGGGGGAGAGGTCTGGGGAGCAGTGGAAGTGGAAGGGCACTGTGTGTGAGGCAGAGAACTGCCCCCCTGGGTGAGGGGGACAGGCACCATGACTGTGCAGTGTGTTTTCCAAAACCTTAAATATGATTTTACAAGCTTGATGCAGCCCTGATCATTTGAGACAAAGGTGGTCTCTTCTGCAGACACGAGATTTAATAAAGAGGTATTTTGATTGTCTACTGTTCAACTGCCTTATTTTCCTCATTTCACTGTTTTCAAAATGGTAAAGTTTACCCTGCCCCAATTTTATGCATGGATTTACAAAGGAATTTGAAATTCAAATTCTGAACCACCCCCAATCTTTTAAAATTAACTCATTTTTAAATTGCTTTTGTTTTGAGGCAGTAGTAATTTTCTTTTGAGTTGTTAGAAAATATTTTTTAATCTGAAAATGAAATGTTTTTTCATTTTTTTCCTTTTCCTTTCAGAATTAAAAAACTAGAATTTTGTTAAGTCTTTAGTGATTTTCGTGTGATGTCATTTGCTACTTTTCTGACTGTAATTGTACAACATAGAATCTTCAGTATTTACCTTGCTTTATTTTTTTCTCATTCAAGAAAAACAGTAGAATAATAGAGTCACTTTGAAAATGTTGTTTTCAGTTCATTCAGAGTGAGGAAAGAGATAGACAGTTAAAGCAAGGACAGAACTATAGCTTCCACTGAAATATTTGTGAGAACCTCAGAAAGTGATTGTGCTCTGTAATCACAGCATGTGACAGTCAAGAGAGTGTTTGGCAGATGATCAGCCTATGGAATTGATAGGTGGATCCAAGTCCTAAGTTACAGGAGTCCTGTGAGAAGAAAGACTGTTGGAGAAAATGCCACTCAGTAAACTTAATACCTTAAACTCTTGTTTTAACCAAGAGTTTTATTGTAAGTTAGTATTGCCAGAAAATTGTTTAGGTAGAGAGTGCGTCTTGTAAATAGGTACATGGTGGGTATCAAATATGTTAGTTGCATTTTGATTGATTTAATGAAAATTTATCATTTGTTTTGGGTTAGTATACTGGTAGCATTAAGAAATCACATAGTGTTCTCATTAACTCATTTTAATTGAAAAACGGTACACAAGCAAAATTAAAGTGGAGGTTTTTCAACAAGCATTTGTGGCATTTTAGGGTTCTTTTCTTAGCTGTTAGCCCAGAAACAGAAGGTTAGAGCTTAGTGAGTTGAGAGATCACCTAGCTCAGCCCCACTTTGAGGGTGAGAAATCTGAGACTCAGAGAAGTTAAAGCTTACATACTTTATGGTAGAGATCTCATTCTTGAGTTTCGTGTACTTTGTATCATTCCATGGCACTCCCGCCATAATGTGTATCCTGGAATGTTTTATGAGGGTGCTTGTCCATGAAGATGTCTTTAACTTTTCCAGTCTCAGCCAAAAACATTTCCTGGGGCTACTCTGCCAATTTAATCAGTGAAAGACACTGCAGTCTATAGCGCCTTAAAGGATTTGTGGTCTCACACAGGCGGAGTGATGTGATCCCATAGAGATCATAGAGAGACTTAGAGTGGGAGGTAGGCTTCCGAGATACTTGGGTTAGAGTGTTGCATTTTGAAATTTGTAAGGTAATACACAAATTTTAAAACTTTAACATTATCAAGTACAGTTTTCCTCTTCCTGAGTTAATGGCCCCTGAATAAATGATAGAAAGGAAAAATAAGGTGATAGAGAATCAGTAGAAGAGAAGTGTAGCCTAGGAGGGCAGCATGGGGAGAATAGTCTCTCATACAGGACTGAGAACCATGTGAGAGAAGACATGCGAGTCCATCTTCTGGAACAGATAGGTGTCTGTGGTAACGGTCACAAGTAAGGCAAGGCTTGTCTCTGATCCTTTTTCGCCCAAGGACAGCTGTCATTTCGACTAGTTGGAACACGTGGTAGGAGAGGTTCCACTACTTTCTGTGACACCCCACAAGTCGTAGCCTTGTGCAGCCGCGTTTCCACTTGGGCTTTCCGTTATCACAATAGATATGGTCACATCATTCTCTCCTCTCTTCATCCACCCACTCTCCCCAGTTTCCCTGTTCTCTCGATAGTACCTTTGTTCTCCCTGATCCCCCTTCACCATCTGTGTCCCTCGCAGACACAGCCTTTAGATTATGCCATCAAGTGACATTGCTGTCCTTTTCTCTCCCAGGCACCGCCATCGTGCGAGCCTAAGTCCTCGTCTCTTGGGAGGGAGAGAGACCAGAGTTTACTTGTTATTTTCTTTCTTACATCTTTTTATCCCTTTAGGTCATCCTGCATTCTGTTGTTTTCCATTTGTCAGTCCTGTTTGTGTGGTCTCTTATTATCTGCCACATCTGTTCTCAGCTCCTTTGCTTTTTCTTCAAGGCTCTTCATGTCCTAGCCTCTCTGTTTAACCCTATTTCATAAATTATGCAAACTTCCCAACATGAACTTTTAAATCTATTCTCTCCCTTCCTGGTTTGCCACTCACCATGGCTTCTCCTGCCCCTCCCCCTTTTGAGACTTCCTTCCCTGCCTTATGTTTGCCTCTCCCCATCTGTCTCTGGGAATCTGAATCTTATTGACCCACCGCACTTCCCTGCTGCCTCTAAGATGCCGTTCATGTTCCTCTCCCTTTCCTCTGACTCCTTCTTAACAGTGTTGTCAGTGTTAGGGACTTTGACTTGTATTTCAAGCTTCTTTTATTCTCAGAGGTTCCTGAGTTACTCTCTGTTTTGTGTGTTCCTCAAGGGCAGTGACTTGCTGATTTCTCAGGTTTCCTCCACTGTGGGTGTTAAGCACTTAGTAGGCCCCCCGGCTGTGTTTGATCAGTTGGTGTCTGTTCACATGAGCTCTGAGTGTGAGGACTTGGGGAGTGGGTTTGATGGAAGCTCCAATCTGGAATGTAACTCTGAGATCTGTTTTCAGACAAGGGATTTATGTTTTCTCCATGGAAAAGAAGTAACACACTATGATCCTTCAATTAACCAATGCCTCCCTCAGGAGCAGAGCCCTTTTGTGATGAAGTTGGCTTATGTATTTATTTTACATCTTCAAAAGTTATGCAAAAACCTGTTGACAAACACTGTAATAGTAGTTTAAGCGATGTACTTTTATAGACTGAATAACCAAAAAGCCTATTTGC